AATAATAATAATAATAATAATAATAATATATGGCAGGTGTAGTGAAATCAACCGGAAGTAAAAAAGACCTTCTGGATAGGTGACAAAAAGCTTTGAGAAAACTAAGGAAAAGTCAAGTGACCTCCTTTTAAAGCCTGTTTTTGTTTGCCATGACCCAGATGACTAAGACTTTACACACAAACAGTGTAGGCTATAAAACAATATCCCATGCTTTAAACATCTCACGGAAAACTTGTAGGGTCACCATGTCAAAATGGAAAAAGTGAGACAAAGCTGCAAACCTACAAAGACATGATTGTCAACTTAACCTGGCAGGTTGATCAAGGTTTGTTAATAAAAGGAGCAGCTAAATACGCCGTACAGTGTATAGCTGGTGGATCTAATAAATCCACAGCACAGGTTTGAGAACATATCACCGGACAACTCTTACTCATCACTTCATCAATCTGGTGTTATGTTGAACTGGAAAGTACAGGACCAAAACAGTAACAGGAAAAACTTGATCAATCTGCCTTTTTGATATCTTGACAAAAAAAGGGGATTGAATAGTTTTACAAAACCAACATTCTACCATCTTTATTCTGTAGTAAATTTGTAAAGGAAATTCATATCTAAAACAGTACAACTTGTTCACTACAGAGCTTCCTTTACAGCCTAACAGACAAGATCCCACATGGTCTTATAAGAAAAAAATATACAGCCATTTCCACTGACCACTACCACTGGAATGCAACCACAGCTAGTGAAATGTACCACAGTAGTAAAACTACCTACAGTACATCAACAGTCAGCAAAGTGTGCCAAAACCTCCAAATAAATACATCCTTACTGGAGGCACCCTTCCACAGATACTGCCATTCAACCAGGAAGTTCTGCACTTTTAAAACTTAGATTTCATCACTTCATCTTGCATAACATGCATACCCACCCTTTTCTGTTTTATCTAGCACTTTCCTTCTCATGTGAATCTCACTGATAGCACGACAGCGAGATGGTATAACACGCAGCATGGCCATGTATAGCGCAATTTTTATCAAGTCAGCACATTCCATGAAAGAAAAGCACCAAAGTCTCACCACAGTGTGCAGATAATACCTTCAACAAGTCATCTGTTTGCCCTTGATTCATGGAACATAGGAAAAAAACAAATGTGGGTGAGAACTGACCTGTGACTTAGGAAACAAATGTCGGGAAAACAGATCTGAAAGCACAGAAGCAGCGGTGGATTGCATGTGTTCCAGAGGGTATTGAAAAGGATGTCTGCTATTACACGAGCATATTTCAGTGGTTATTTTCCACAGATAAATAAACACCTTTTACTGCTATGTCTAAAATTACCCCACACCAATGCTAGTTCGATCATAAACACTTCTGCCATTCTAAGTGTTTAACAGAGACCTATTTGAGGAAAATACAGTGGCTCTGAAAAAGAAATGTATGGCCTTAAGTTAATTTTTAATACTGATGAATTATTGGAATATGCTGGCAAGATTCAGCCAGTTATCACTGACTGAAATCTACCATCTCAACTCACCTGTCTGTGTAACGGCGGACAGGTTCAATTAGTATCAGGCCATGTGGGGCATGGGAGAAGGCTGGTTGGCGTAACAGGCGATATCTGAGGGGTTTGCAATGCCTGCAAAATATGCAGTCCGGCTTGGATGTCAACAAAGTTGCGTCAATCTCTAGGTGTTGTTCCATTGTGTAAAACTGTACACCATACACCTCTTCTTCCACGTCCAGTTTGAGAGTCAATGGAGTGTCACAGAAAACATAACGGGGGCCCAGTGAAATGTTATTTCCTCTCACAGTCAGAAGTAAGATTTCATGGATAGCAGGCAGAGCGCTCTCCTCTGGGCTGAAAAATGTCACCCATACAGTCAGCGAATCGGGCACCACTGGGTGTTGGAACTCCAGTTGTAGCATACAGCCCTGTGGGGGGCACTCAGACAGGCCAACAACACCTTGGTCAGTTCCTGCATTTGGGCTCCATGTACGCACACTTGGCTCACAAGCTTGCTCTACATCTGGAGGGCCTGTAGGATAAGTTAAAAACAGATATCAAGTAAATACCACACTGAAAACAAATTACTGACATAGGAAAAAACTAGATAGCCTGTTAACAGTATTAATAACTTTTTCACATTTTATCAGATATCCACAAACGTATATACTTTATTGGTATATCATGTGGTAAACCAGCAGATAAAGTCCATTAAGGTAAGATGGAAATAAAGTGATGAATGAGATGTCAAATCCAAAACATGTGGCATGTATATGCTATTATTCCTTTGTTAAATAGTTCTAACTCACCCAGTCTGGATGCATGTCTAAACAAAGTCTTTTAAGCATTGCCACTCACTCTCAATTAAATTTACTTATTTTATTCTGACACATTAAGAACTTTTGACTGAAATTTAAGGTGTCCGGGTTCACTCCTCAAGAGCTACTTTCCTGAAACTTTTAAAGGCATCCCTTTTATAGTATACCTGAGTCAGATGAATCCACAGGGCCCTGGAAGGCTAAATGACCTACTGATTAGGGAGCTCAACCATCAGATTAACTCTGGCTACATGTTCTCTTCAAGTCAATGTTCCACTTGAAGATTAACCTTCAACATAGATTTAAGTTTTTTCTTTCAGGATTCCTCCTTCTTTAGTTCCAAACATCAAGTTTTTTCCTGCTTAAGTAATGCAAAGGGAGTGCATAATCTTCAAGCATGCTTCACAGTGGGAAATATCACATTTGTCATAGCATGGTGTAAGCCCCAAAAGGCAATATTGACGTCACGTGACCAGAGCACATTGTTCTATGTGTATGCTGTGAACAGATAATTTGGTATTTTATGTGTTGAAACCAGAGGATATGTGCCCTGTGTAGAATCTAACTATCTTTGAAAAACTTCTACAACTTTCTACAACTTGTTTTTGGTGTTTCTTTGTCTTTTTGATGCTATTTGCTTACTAATATTCTATAAAAAAAAAAAAGAAAAAAACATCTGTAACCCTCAGAGAAGCTGTTTGATTGGAAGATTACATTTTGAAGCATTCAATTGTTTGGGCTCCAGTTTCATTAAGAGAGTAACTTAATAAAACGTAATAAAACTTAATAAAAGTAAAATAAACTAAAAACAAGCCCACAACTCATCTACTTAATTTTGGGGGGGGACAAAAATATTTTCCTTTGATTTCAAAGATGTTTCACTTTATTTTGGTCTACAAAAAATAAATTAACAAAAAAATGTTAGTGGCTATGCTGTGATAAAACCTCATGAAATTCCATTCATCCTTTATCATAACTGCTTATTCCCTAATGGGGTCGTGGGTGGGACTGGAGCCTATCCCAGTAATCAATGGGCGAGAGGCAGGGTATACCCTGGACGGTGTGCCAGTCCATCGCAGGGCCACACAGAGACACCCAAAGATGGACGCACGCTCACACTCACTTCTAAGGACAATTTGGAAGGTCAATCAACCTAACATGAAGGGGCTTATTTGGACTGTGGGAGGAAGCTGTAGAACCCAGAGAAAACCCATGCAGAGACAGGGAGAACATGCAAACTCCACATTGAAAGATCTTGGTTCCCATGGGACTTGAACCCAGAACTCCTTTTGCTGTGAGGTAAACATGCCGTCCCTAAATGAAATTTAATGGTTAATAACTATTTTACAAGGAATGAAAGTCTAAATCCTTTTCTTTATTGAAAGTTTATTGGTGCTAGAAGTATTGACATTTTAAATCAGAACAACAACAAAAAAACATAGAACCCCCTTCATCTTCAATCCCTACAGTGAGAGTTTTGCATATTGCCAAAGTAAAGAGAGACGAGGATGTATTGCAGCTAAATTCAAGATGACGAATGAAAAACCATTCAACCAAAGTAAGTTGCTGTGCAAATATTTTAAAGGACGCTGAGGCCTCCTAGGTATTGTTAAAACTATTTCTGATCCAATAGCTGGCTTCCATGTTTGCAGACTGCTGCTCTTCTGGCAACATATAATACCAAATGCTATGTTTTACTTTGGCAACCCTGGGAGCTCTCATGTGTTTGGCTCAGGAACCAGGAAGTAAACACAGGCTACACACTGCATTGAAATAGTTACACACCATATCTCCATTTTCAAAAGGGGAAAATGAACATGACCAGAACATGGGATAGTGACGCAATTGTTTAAAGGGAATGTGACTTTCATCCTGGGTGATAAATGACAATAATCTTGGCTACTTTTAAATTTAATTTCATATGTATTGCTCCTTTAAGGAATATCAAATATTCTCTGAATGGTTAGACTAAACACTTAATAAACAGCTAAGAGTTAAGGAGTAGCAGTAGTTATGTTTTGGTGTTGCTAAAGGTCTTGCAACACCAAGTTTAAGGTGAAACTAAGAGTTCATTGTGAGTCCATGTGCAGAGGAAAGGCAGAGCTGAGGTGTGTACCTTCTGAGAGGGGCCCTGCACAGGGTTCTCACTTCAGCACAGTCATTACAACCTCAAACAGTCACACTCCAGCCATATTTGGAGTCCACACACAGCTAACTCGCATTATCCCAAGTGACGTACACTAACATTCATCAAGCACTTTTAGGAGCCAGCAAGCGGTAGACACTATGTTCTCCCTCGTTTTCCTTTTGTGCAATTCCAAGCTGGCAAACATCGAAGCCATTTGCTAACCTCATTTCTGGGCACCATGCAAAATTCCAGTGTTTAATCAAGTGAGGATTGAAAATGGATTCCAAGCCACATTATCTCAACATATTTATTATCGTACTGTAAGTGTGTGTGTGGGCAGAGTGAAGGTGAATTAAAGAAAAGCAACTCAGTGAAAAAAAGAGATGGAGAAATGGGGGGGAGGGGGGTTGGAAGAGAAAGAGCAAAGGTACTCCAAGAGCTTGGCTGCGCTCTGCTCATGTAGCCCTGGCTTTCTGAGTATATTTTCATAGAGTTTGCAAGGAAAAGAGCTGCAGCCACTGAAAATATTTTGTAATGTCAGCTGTTATGATGGGCTCGACTTTTGCTCTGGCGCTGTTGGTAATGTTGTTGGAGATTTAAGAGGAGACAGAGCAGGGTTGTCATCCATTGTGTAACCTAATGCAAAACAAACTGTTTCACAGCCAAGTAAGAATGTATCCATGACTGACAAGCCAGCCTGTGGACACGTGGGATATGAACTAATATCAAAACTTCTTTGTCTGTTTGAAGAATACAGGTATTTGCAGGTAAAGCAGCTTAATCTACAACAAATTATCAGAGCTGACAGCTAAAGCCTGGTGATGTCAAAAGAAGCCAAAAAGCTTCTTGTTTAAACATTTATATACAAGAACCATACACTAAAGATAATGATCAAAATAAAGCTTAGACCTAGTTGAACAATCTTTAGTGTAAGGCTGAGTATATTGATCAACTTATATATAAACTGCTCAAAAAACTTAAAGGGACAATTTAAAAAACAATATATTTTCAGTTAAATCAAACTTCTGTGAAATCTAACTGTACGCTTAGGGAGCAACAAGGATTGACAATCTATTTCAAATGCTGTTGTGCAAATGGAAACAGGTGGATATTATAAGCGGTTAGCAAGACACAGTCAATAAACGAGGGGTCCTGCAGGTGGGGACCACAGACCACTTCTCAGTATTTATGCTTTCTGGCTGAAGTTTTGATCACCCGTGAATGTTGGTTGTGCCTTCACACTCGTGGTAGCATGAGATGAACTCTACAACCCACACAAGTGGCTCAGGTAATGCCGCTCAACCAGTATGGTACATCGATGCAAGCTGTGGCAAGAAGTTTTGCTGTGTCAGCGTAATGTCCAGAGGCTGGAGGCACTACCATGAGACAGGCCAGTACAAAAGGAGATGTGGAGGAGGCCATAGGAGGGCAACAACCCAACAGCAGGACTGTTACCTCCGCCTTTGTGCGAGGACAAAAAGGAGGAGCACTGTGAAATGTCTACACAAACGTTGAAGCTGAAAGCCCTGCTAAAAGCTGAAAGCCCTGCTCGGCTTTTACTACAGCCAAAAATCCTCCTTTATTCCCTCAGTGAGGAAAAGACTTGTTCAGATCACCTTCCTTCATGTTCTGGACTATGGAAACATCATATATATGAATGCTGCCTCCTCAGCTTTCCACTCCCTGGACATAGTTTATCAGTGATTTACGTTTCATCAACAACTCTGCCTTCAGGACTCATCATTGTGAACTGTATGCTCTGGTTTCATGGCCCTCTCTAAGCCTCAGAAGACAACATCATTGGCTTACTTTTATTTACAAGGCCATCCTGGGTAAACTTCCTCCATACCTGTGTCACCTCATGTTTGTAGCTAACAGTGGTTACAACTGAATTGTAACTGTTATTCTAGAGTCTAGTTCATAATTGATTTTATTATGTTGTCCTGTGTTTTTATATGTCTTACTGTACTGCTGCCTCCTGGCCAGGTCTCCCTCGAAAAAGAGATTTTATCTCAAGGGACTTTCTGGTAAAATAAAGGTAAAATAAAAAATAAAATACACAAACATTAGAAACCGACTCTGTGAGGATGGTATGAGGGCCTGACGTCCACAGATAGGGGTTCTGCTCACAGTCCAACAACTGGCAGGACCCTTGGCATTTGCCAGAGAACACCTGTATTGGCAAACTCACCACTGGCGCCCTGTGCTATTCAGAGATGAAAGCAGGTTCACACTGAGCACATGTGACAGTCCTGACAGTCTGGAGGCACTGTGGAGGGTGATCTGCCTGCAACATCCTTCAGCATGACTGGACAGGCAGTGCCTTAGTAATGGTGTGGTGACATTTCTTTGGAGGGCAGCAGAGCCCTCCATGTGCTCGCCAGAAGTACCAATTAGGTACCAAGATGAGATCATCAGACCCCTCATGAGACGATACTGTATGCTGGAGCAGTTGGCCCTGGGTTCCTTCTAATGCAGGACAATGCTAGATCTTATGTGGGTGGAAGTGTGTCAACAGTTTCTGCAAGATGAAGGCATTGAAACTATGGACTGGCCCACCTGTTCCCCAGACCTGATACAATTGAG